TCCCAAACTCTTAAAGCAATAGGATATAACACTGAAAGTTATTATTTAATGACTTTTTTCTTTTTAAAAACTTTAAACAAGTAATGTTTTATCTTTTTATCCCATTTGCCTGGCTCCAAAAATATGGTTTTTGATTGAAAATTGTATATGAGTGATGACGATAAATATGTGATGGTAGAGACCATTGTGGTGTGGGTTCCATTAGAGGCAGATTGCTCAGAGACAGTCAGGCTTGATCAGATCTTCAAGGAAGTGAGATTTTGTTACAGATGAAGGTGGCAGTCATACTTAAGTTTGCAGGACTGTGTGCAAGGCAATATCAGGAAGAATTTAGGATGGGAAGGATGGCAAAGGTGGTATTGTGGATGTATCAGAGACAATGTGGTGTAGGAAATTAATGTATTATCTAAAATCTGACAAGCCTGGATATGAATCTCCTCTTGTGTGTCCTTAGTAGGTTCTCTATGACTTGACTTCCCTAAGTGTCGGTAAAATGAGCGCATTATAACATTAATTTCATATGGTTTAAGGATTGAGAGAAGAAATCCAGTAAGTTCTTTCATGTATTGATAGGATCTGATCTGAGATATAATAAACAATAAATAATCCAATGCAGTGGTTGTAGTTGTTTAAAACCATTTGTTGAATAGAATGTGTGTGTGTGTGTGTGTGTAAAGCAAACAATTGAAATGTTAATAGTCTATACTAAGAATACTCTATACAAGATTTGTGTTTCTTATTAGTATGGAAGTACTTATGGTGATAGGTTTTAGTTCTAGCTTTGCCTTGCACTCATTCTTTTATTTCTGAGAGAAAATTCTTAATACTTGTACTACAAGTATTTTATATGTATCTATAAATTACTTAGCCTTCTTGTCAGGCAACTACTGCAAAAAGCGTGGATTTCAGTATTTGAAAATCTTGTATAGGAGAATGAAAGGGGAGGGTCAGTTAATGCTGATGTGATAGTCTTCTTGCCCAGTTTATAAATTTTTTTGAATTCTGCATTGGTATAACATTGTAGATGGCTATGATGTGAATTTTCCTTCCTGTTTGATCTGAAAGGCTTTCCAAAAGATGTCTTCATAATAATGATAAATTAGGTAACTAGTGGGGGTTAGGGGAAGGGTGTTTTAAAAAAAATAAAACTTCATTATGACAGCATTGAAAGAGGAAGCTAATCTGTATTGTCAGCTCTGGCCACAGCTAGAGTTAGTCATTTCTTGACAGATGAAACCATTTCTCAGAAAACATGCTGTTTGAGGGTGGAAGGAGGAGGGAATCTTCGTTAGTAGCTTACTTGATTTTTATCCAACTTATAAATCACAGTTTTATTTGGGTATTATGTTTCTTCATTCACTTGATTACAAGAATTAAGACCAGATCATACCCTATAGCAGTATAATTCTTGATAGGTTTGCTATTGGTATTATTATATGTTAAGAAATAAGATTTCCTGTGAAGTGTGGTTTGGTAGTTTTTGTGGTACCTCAACCAGTATAGTTTGATTTCTGTAGTTTCATTTCTCTCCCTTTGTTGAATCCTTTCCTTATTGCTTGGGGGGGGGGTAATAAAAAATAGGGAAGAAGGAGATAGCCATGTACTTAGAATGTTGACAGAGTACTTGGCTTTAGGATTTATTTATAGCCCAAAGGTTATGGTACTCATATTTCAGAGGTTCCTACACAGAATAAACTATGGAACAAGGAAAGTCTGTAACCTTATTTTTTTCTTCCAGTTTTTTCTTCTAAAGAAGTCAGAAGTTTGGTTTGAAATGAATGAGTCACAGGTTTGTGGCTTACTAGTAGTAACAGGAGAGGGAAAGGAAAGATTTGACTCCCAGGTTGTAAAGGATATCTACTCTCTCAGATATTTGAAACATACATTAAGTGATTCTTAACTAGAGAAAAGGCTTTGTTCCTTATTGCTAGAGAATATAAATCACAATGTCACAGTTTCTCATAAATTGTGTTTGATAGTTTCACTTCTTGAAATGTGTATACTATCTTTATAGATAGTTTTAAAATGATATGTTTTATTTAACACAGGAAACTTTTCTGTGCAGATTCTCTTCTGAATCAAAATGATTTACACAGAAAGCATACTATTTGAGGAGGAGAGGAAGAAGGGAATTTAAGTAATATGATCTTAATAGAACAGAAGAGCTAATATCTGGTAATGTAGGTGTATTTCAGAGTCGTTTTTTATCAGTCTTAGGGGAAAATATAAGTTCAGTCAACATTTGTAGTCAGTTCTAAATAACTGTAGTTTCCCAAACTTTAAATTTTTGTTTGGTTGTTGTTGGGTTGTACCAAAACTTGCAGAACTGCCTTGGTTGTTTTAGCCTTACCAGATAGCAAAATTAAAATTAAAAAAAAAAAGTATTTATTTATTCTGAGAAAATTTAGTGTTCTTTTGCTTTTGCTGACTGGAATAAGTAGAGAGGGAAGCAGAACCACTACCAAATCCTCTTGGGCTCCTAGTGCTTGTGTGGTAGTGCCCTGCTCTTTGTTACTCAGACACCACAGCACCCATATGCAATTTGGTGTTTTTTTAATATGTTGGGATGAAGGTTAAATAGTTGTGAATTCTAGTTCAGAACCCTAAGTATAAGGTATCATGATACTGTTTTTAAAAACAAACTGCAGAATCTTCATAGCTTGTGGAAGGGTCTGAAATGGCACCAGCAAGGTGACAGAACAGTCAGCACCCTACAAGGAAACACACAGTCTTTATGGATTCCTTCCTTCTTTGTGTAGGCAAAGATACCATTTTCAGTTGTGCAACAGATACGATATACCTAAGGAAATACATCTATTATCTTTTATTGGAACTTGAATTTTAGGGATTGTGTGGCATTCTCCTGTTTTTTGTATTATCTAGGAGATCTGTGGCATTTTGTTATTTTTTCTCATACAACAGTTAAAGGATGATTAAACTGTTAAAAAAAAAAAAGAAGAAGAAGAAAGAAAGTGGCTGTTTAAAAAAAAATGCTTGCTGACATCATCTTTCCGAGAACACTAGTATAAGTGATTTACTATAACAAGATCTTAGTTTTTCCTTTTGGCAACTGACATGTAATATTTACAGAGGTCTTGGGTTTGGTCCAGCAGAAAAATCTCAGATAAACTAAGTATGAAACTAAAGCCCTTTAACATTTTCTTTCATACAAAGTTAATGTGAACTTTATTTACTCCCCAGTTTTCAGTTTAAAAACGGGGGAAAATGAGTAGTATAGATTTTCCTTGAGGGTAACAGCTTATATAATCAAACATATGCTCTAGAATTAAACTCAGATGTGTTTTTAGTTTTTAATTCTCACAGTTGTGTATTTAGGGTTCTGAACTAATGTTAAAATTCTGTTGTTTTTATGCTAGCACTTTACCTATATAATGCTTCTTTCTCTTCCTTTCCCATCAAAATGCTGTAAGGTGTGTTTAAAACTATTCTCTTGTTTTATTCTAATACAATAAGCTAAGGTACTGTGAGTCTAAAACAGTGCTATAATTCTTTTTTTTTTTTAAAGATTTATTTATTCATACAGAACTGGGGTACAGGCCAGAGATGTGGAGGGTGAGAGGATTCACCAGAGACAGAGCAGGGGGACAGAACAGGCAGATCAATGAAGTACACCGCTGAGGGGAGCGGCGGGCAGGTCAGGAGAGGTCTGCCACACCATGTGGATCTCCTCCGGGGCAGGCAGGGATCGAACTCATGTGGAAGTGGCTTCAGCTTCTCCTTGCTGTGCTTTAACCGCTGCGCCACCAGGGAGGGCCCAAACAGTGCTATAATTCTTGAATCACTTTTTGCATAATCAAGTTCTGTTCTGAACCTTAAAAAAATCCTACAAGGTAAAGTTTTATACTTTACATGTTGGCATAAATTCTAAATCTATGAGATTTTACTTTTAAAAACCTAACATAATGCAATAAATAATGAAAACATCTTTAGTTGTCTTTTAAAGAATTGAAATATTCCAGCTATACTTAAATTGTTTAAGTACTTTTAAGTACACAGTAAATGCTAAAAGTTTATTTAAATATATTTGAATGCATATATACTGAGGATCTATAAAAAAGGTGAAATGTAGTTACTGTGGAAATGTAGTCTCATATTTGAATAGATTTATCAGTTGTTAGGTACCACAAATCTAAATGATTCTTTTATTTTTAGAAAGGGTAAGTTGTTTTATTCCGTTTATTTATTTTGTTTAGTTCTTGGCAGTTTTTTATTTTTTTTATTTACTTTTTTTTTTTAA